TGAGTTCCTGCTGAAAACTCTAGTTGCTGAACCACACTGGTGGAGGGGTTTGGATAATCACTGTTCACTGGCCTGCTAGAGCTAAGTTAATGAAAGTTTGAGCTATATTGCAAAAGTTCAAAGACAGACAAAAACAACAATACTTACCGGCTCTGTTAATGTCATATCTTTTTCCAGGAACTGAACAACACAGTACGCCAGCTTAAACAAAGTTTTTAAAAATTCACAGGTTATTACAGCATTACTAAATTCTGAAATTCTATAATTTCAAAAAGAGATTATCTGTAACAGATTCTTTTAGTGGTCATCTGTCATTCATATGTATGGTTTTGTGCCTGCGTTGAGCTTCTTCTGGAACCTTATAGACTTTATAGATGTTTGATGGGAGTCCCATCCTTTCTGTAAAGCAAGCATATCTAGGCATGAACCCTGCTAACCCTTTTAGTTTCTAAGACTGGTACACCAATCCCTTTGATGAAGAAGAAAAACTGATGTCACCTGGCAATAAATGAGTTTGGAGAGCTGGTTGTATGAATTCACAGATGACCACTCAAAGAACTTATGACAACTGTATGACATCCTGGGTTGAGGCAGCATACAAATTTAATTATAATTTATCATTAACTTCAGTTACACCAGTTCTTCTTCACTGTGATCTCTGTAATTCACACATATGGATAAGCAGCCTTTCATTGGGATGATGTTTGTAAGATGAGAGAAGTGAAGATTGTTCTATCAAATGCTGTTTTTGCGGGTGGGAGAGGGGAACTAAATATTCAAGCAGCAGAACTGAAGAAATGCCCAAAGTTCAGACTATGTAGCTGCCCAAAAGAACTCTGGCAAAAGGCTCCAAAAGTTGCTACCGCTGTTGAGGATTGAACTTGGATATCCAGTAAGCACTGCTACTTAGTTCTACTGGTTTTAATTTAGTTTGGAAAGCTACAGTCATTCATTTTTATTTGTGCCCTACTTCTTTCTATTCCCTCCTTCCTTGATATTTTTTGTCATCATCATTTAACTTTTTCTAAGAAAGTATCTGTGAAGAAAAGGAACATTCTGAATCTACAAAATGCCAGTGCTAACTAAAGGAATTATCAGGATCTACACATAAGCACATAAATAGAGAAGATAAGAATCTAGCCAAAATCCTTTAAGATCTAGAAGGTTCTGAACAGAATTTAATGCAGGAGCAAAACCCTTTTTCATGAATCACAGAGACCATGATGAAGAAGCAACTAAGGTGTAATATGAGACCTACAGTATATACATGATTATAAACCTATAAAGTGTGGCTCAATTAGTTAAATTATTATACTATGACCTAAGACTCAGATTCAGTCCTTGGGTTTATATACTATCTACTCCCTGCACAGCATTTAGAAATGAACAACTAATCTAAGAGGCATCTATTTAAAGAGAACTTACTCTCAAAGATCCTCTCACATTCAGATAAATGGAATATTTCCTTGTCTTGTTGCTCATGCAAACTCTAGGTATGTCCTCAGTCTTTCTCTGGGAAGAGCTGGGACTGAATTTGAGGGAATAGGGCAGAGAAAAAGATCCAGAGGAACAATCCAATAGGAAGAATTTGAGCTTCATCAATATAACAGCACCATTTCAATATGTTTGAGATAAATATCTCAGTATGTTGATCCCAATATGTTGCAATTTATTCATTTACTAGAAGAATACATATTTTAATATAATATAAAAGTAACCAAGAAATTTCTTACTATCTTATTAATAACATTTGTCCAATCATTTTTAGTACCTACCACCAGATCTGATCACTGGGCAAAATGACTGTATGTTGAAATGGCTTCCCTCATTACCACTTTTCTTCCTAATTTTAGCTCATAAGATTATATTAGAAGGATTCTTATTTCTTCATTTCTTCAGTGCAATCCATTTTGTAAATCACTATAATTGTATCCTTGAAGATTCTATACTCAAGCCATTATATATTAAACTAGCATTTTAAATCTTCAGTTTTGAAGGATAAAGACTCTTGTTAGCATCATGTAGCTCATGGATGACAATGAATGACAACACCAACTCAGCTGTCAAGCACAAAGAGGGAACACTTACTCAAGTGCCACACACTGATAACATCATCAGATGACCCTCAGAAGGCAGATACTTATTATTTAGTGTGATTGGCTAGTACCCTACTTAACTCTTGTATCAAACACCTCAGGAAGCAGAGATTTCAAGCTATGCTTCTAAGTGCATACAAGTAATTTATTTTTAAAATTACAATGTACAGATCATCTATACTGTAATAGATACTGTAAATTCAAAAGAATAGATCAAGTAATTGAGGAAAAACATTTATTTGTTTATTTTACAATGCTGGTTCATAAAGACCCTAGGCAGAGTACAAGTAAATATTCATTTTGATTTTCCACTGTGTGAAATACATTAAAATATATTAAAAAGAGTCATTTTTTGTGAGATGGCCATATAAATTTGATTAATAAATAAAATAAAAGCTTTGTATCTTTAAATAGTGACCTCTGTCCCCAAAAAATCAATCTGCGCAATTAAATCTGTTTAGCCACAACATTACTTGAGCTTCAACATGCAATAATATTTTATTCCCTCAGATCAACATACCTGTGCATGAAATAAAGCTAATCCCTTTGCAGTATGCATGGGAATAAGAACCTTCAGAAGGAACTGTTTATGTTCGCCTTTCAGTGGCAATGCAAAACCATTGATAATACTGAAAAAAACGAATTAGACATGAACACTTACTACAGTATGGCAATACATGTAATAAATGTATATTACATTGAAATTTTATTTTGAAGACTCTGAACAACACTACTTCTATAAATACATGAAACTAGACCAGCTCTATTTTCCACAGGGCAGTAAGGAACAGTTACTTTTCCAATCTTGTTGCCAAAATTAGTGTCTACAAACCAGCAACTCCTAAGTGCTGCTTATCAAGCTTGGTTCCCTATATTAGCACCAATTGTACAACCTACCAACCAGAAAAAAGTGCTTTAAGTATGATAGAAATTAAAACAGAGCAGATTCCAATTTGGGGTCATTTCTAACACTTCATTAACTATATGAGAAAGATTACAGATCAAGAAAACATATTTATGCTGCAGGAATATTGTAACTGTTCCATGGAAGTAAAATTAATTACATGCAGTTTATGGACCTCATACAACTTTATGCAAGAGGATTTCCGCTAACATAGAATTTTCATTTCCTTTTCTTTCCTCCCCTTCTTTTCTACTCCAAATCCACCAAATCCTGTTTGAAGGGGGAAAGGAATCCATCAGGCTAGCAGTGTCTGTTCTACTGTAGACATATACTGTACCATTGCATACTATCTTACATGTTTTGTTTGTTTATAGACAATGTCCCCATACAGAAATTCTGCAAGTCATCTGAACTTCACAGTACCCCTATTTAATGTTTTGTAGAAGCTTGTTTACTCAAGGGTCTGGTTTTCTAAGACCAGTATCAATGTCCATATGGAGTCTTCTTGCAACCCTCTTGGTCCTCCCAAGAGTATAATAATCCCAAGAGCTCATTCCTGTTACAGGATCATTATCTCCCCTGCAGGCCTAAAAATAAATGGGATAGTGATAATTGTAACCACTGATTTAAAAAAAAAAAAATCTGATGCAAACCTCTGTCCTTCCTGACTGCAGTGAAAAAATAAACCTACCTTCCCAGTATCTCAAGTAGCTCAGCAACACCATTGAAATGTTCTGTTTCATATATAAACCTGTTTTAAAAATTGCAGTTAATATTTATGCAAAAAGGAAAGAGGAAAATACAATTAAATATTTAAAAGTTCTACAATTGACAGTTGAGGGGTTGTTATTATTTTTCTTGAAAATTCTTAGCAGAACTGCACCTTACATTTGAAGTGCATTGGTGTAAGAGGATTGCCTTAAAATAGGTATTATGCAATATTGGGGAAGTTCCAAAGCAGACCACAACTATCAAACTAAGCCTTCAGAACAGACAGGAGCAATGTGGCCCCAGAGAACCCCATTTCTAGCTCCAGAACCTCCTCAGAATCACGGCATAAAATGGATGCCTTAAGCTTTTGAATCCCTTGCAACCTTTAGAATTAAGAAAACCCCAAGTAATTAAGCCAATTTTTCCTGCAGAAGAGTTGAGGACAAACTGATTGCCCAAAGCCTTTCAGAAGTTTAAGGTGCCCACTTTGTACCATAATACCTCCACACTCACTTCCTCAATGCAGAAGAAAAAGGTGAGACATCTAGGCTACATCCATTCTGGTGATAACATATACCACCCTTAGCTCTGCATTCCTCCCAGGAAGGGAACAAGAGCAAAGTGCAACCTCCAAGCCCATCCTTGCTTTATGAAAGAAACATTTATAATCCCATACTATGTAATCCTAGCGCTAGAAATGGAAAGTTAGGATACAATGCTACATCTAGGCATTTTGTATCAAAGACCAATTATACTTCAAACAGCTGTCAAGAATGTTCCTTTCAATTCAAGCTTAAAATTTCCCCAGTCAACAACTAGGCCTAATTCATTTCCAAGATTTGAAAAGGATGACAGCCATGGAGGAAACACACAATGAAATATCAATCCCCAAGGAATGGGCCTATTTTGATTTTCTTTTGGATTCAGTACCAAGGACATGGGCCAACAGGGCTTTCTTTACCTGTCAGAATTCTTTCTCTATAGTTTAAACAACGTCCAAGGTCTGACAAATCAGCACAAAGAGATGTTAATATTCCAGCATAGGAAGTGGCGATGATTTTCAAAGCATGTGGGGCTCCTCTCTGCCCTGGTTCTAGGGACCCTGAATTTTGTGCAGTTCCACAGTAAAGCAGATAACTAGATTGTGCAATTTTAGAAATTAAGCACACTGAAATTATTAATGATGTAATCATGTTTTTATCTAGTTACACAAGTAATATGGTCTGGATCTAATGTCTCCCTTCTGTGAATAGAAGGACTCTGTCAATCTGTGGAAAGCTTCCTTCCCAACAAAGCATTTCTACAGGTAGCTGGAGAAAGTATTATCTTTACTGGCTCCCTGATCTCAGGAAAATGTTGCAGTTCTTCTAGGGCAATATGGGAGATGATGCTAAGAGCTGCAAAGGGAAGGAAAGATCAGATACCCTCATCCTTTCTGCTATCAAGAATGTTCTAAAGTGAAGTCTTTGGGGATTTCCTCCTGCAGGCAAATTACAAGCTTTAGATAGAACATGGTATGATGCAGGCTTTTAAGAATATGTGTTTCTTCATAGGGCAAATAGCAGCTCTTCAAACAGCTAGTAATACTTATGGTACCTTCCAATATTTTTATTTTCTACTAAAACTCCAGTATTTCAATAGTTGATTTGTGTATGAGTAGATAACCATCCTGTTGAATGGTAAGAATCCTTAGAGGCATGATACCTGTGCTCATTTCAAACATTCACTACACCTTACTTCTGGGCTCCTCCTTGCTCAATAAATGGCATCAGAATGGTGTGGTGTTTTCAGTTACAGTGACCACTAGGAGTACACACTGGGTAAAAATAGACAAATCCCCCCCAAGAGGGGTGGTGGAGGAAGTAACTTAAAACCTGACATAATGACAAGACATAATATAACATCTGTATCTCTCTGTATATACCCTTTTGATAGCACTTTTAAGATATCCTTTACTGCCACTGCTGAGCACCAGGATAGCTCCTAAAGCTAATGCGTCGCATAAGAGTCTTCTAAAGTGCAACGGTCTGTGTGTTCAATTCCTGGTAGGGAATTTGAACCCCACAGAATAACATCTGGCTACCCTTGTCCAATGAATAGCTTTCAGCAACTGTCTAAAATGCATCCAGTTAATTTTGGCTCATGAAACCTTATATTACTAACAAGTCCAGTTGCTATCTGCAAAAATCTGTCATAGATTCTTGGCCACGTAATAATGTGACCAAACTCAACGGGTGACTGATTCAAAATACATAAATGTGGTTTACAAGGTGCTACTTCACTGAACTCCTGAGGCAAATGTGTATTTTCCCGAGCTGTCTAGGGCTAATCAATAGAGTCTTTCCTCAGGAGCTTGCCTTTGAAGTTTGTCTCTTCAAAAAGAAAAGAAACCCTTTGCATGTGCTCCTTTCCCAGTGCCAAATGAGCTTTCCATAGATCAGTGACTGAGTATGAATTTCCAGTTGCACACTTAAAGCTTGCTTTATTTTACAAACTGCAATTGCTGCAGATGACTCTTGCATGCTCGAGGTCAAAATCAAGGCCTTTATGTACGTATCAGGAAAATATATATATGCATATTTATCTAGAAGTAAATAATTCTTTAAGTGTGCACAGAAGAGTACCATACTAGACATATCACTCTGGATAAACTTTTTTAAAATATTACTTTTGGGACAAACCCCTTAACTGAAAAGCAACTAATTTTATACCCAATATTTTTAACAATATGTGGAGGAGTTTAACTCCAAATATGTTATTAGTTCATTAAGAACAACTTGTGGGTTATTAATTTTGTATTTTTTAAAATATATATGCAAAACTTGGTAGTAAATTTGTAAACAACAATATATATTATACCTGAGAAAAATATTGTTGATTTGTTTCCTGATGAATGCTCTTAATCCAAGGAATTTGCCATAAATTCGATGAAGTACTGTTTTTAGAAAGTCACGCTCTCGTGGATCTTCACTGTCAAAAAGCTCCAACAGCTATTGATAAAGTATTGTTTATTATTTCAATTCTCTGCTGTCAAAATACTAAATGGAATAAACACTAATTGGCATACAAATTCAACCAAATTTGTTCCACACCTTCCCACATAAAACCTAAACTAAGCTCAGGATGGCTTCAACAATACAGTGCCAGCAATAAGCAGTTTGCAAATGTGCAGCAGGGAGTTCACAGGATAAACCTTTCTAAATTAATCAACATTAGCAAGCGCTTAGATAGAAATGCAAACAGTCTTACTGGTCATAGGAAAACAAATTCAGTAAGAAGGAAATGCTGAACTAGGACTAGCTGAACCACAACTACTGTGTGATACTGTAATTATTCCTAACAAATGCGTTGTGTATAGCCTCACCTTAAAAATAAGAAACGAACTAATATTATTTCATAATGCGTTTCTATACCTCAATAATGATTACATAGAATATGCAAATCCCATTATATAGTTATCTTTGCCATAATTTAAAAAACCACACCACTTCAACATGGCACAGGGTGACAGTTCAACAGTGGCAATATTAAATGCTTTATGCATCACTGTTTTGTTTCTCCCTCTATTTAACAATATAAGGAATATTGGCTTGAATGCTCGTCTCTGATTTGAGGGAAACTGCTCATGGGTCACTCTGGCTGACAATTTTCACTTGTACTCTTCCTGTAACATCCTAAATGGTGCTGCAGACGGTTTGGAAACTATTCTGCAACAGCAGGTAAAAGGGAAATGTGTGCACACTCTCCAACAGTGGGAGCAGGATGCTTGTGTGCTCTGCAACAGCATGGGAAGGAAGATGTGCAACTGCTGTGCAACACTCTGAGTAAAGGGGATGCGACAGCTCAAAAAGAGGAGTATCTTAAAAGAAAAAAGTCATTCCTTCCTTTTCTATAGTGTATGAATAAGCTCAACTATAAATATTCCTGAGAAACAAAATGGATCTTCCATCCACAAAAGAAACATCTACATTCAAAAAATCAATCTGAGCTAAAAGTAATAGTATATTATATATGTTGAATATTTACCTGCTGTACAAATTTCTGGTCAATATGACGTTTTGCAATGCTAGGCTGGAAATCAGGACTTTCTAAAAACCTTAGTAAAAATTCATACACCAGCTATGAAAGAGTAAAATAAAAAAAATTTTAAAAAAAAACACTTTCATATGCAATTAATTTCACATATATTAGCAAAGCCCATCAGAAGATAACAGAAATTCATTTAGTAAAATTCAGCATGCTAGTATTAGCATATTAACTCCTCAACAGTTCAGGCTCTTAAGACCACACATTCTCTAGCCCACTACGATTATCTTCAAGCTGCAAGAACGTTTCTCTCAAGCGTGGTGCAGAAAATGGTTAAGAAATCAGAAGGACTCTGAGGTTTCCACGTTATTTTCTCCCACTTGGTCTTTTGTGTTTTTCTTCTCTTCCTTTTCAATATGTAGTCAACTCTTCCTTTTTCAGTGCTATTTTTTGTATTATAACTGTACCAAGTTCAACACTAACCAGTTACAATATCTCTGAACAGTGTTTGTAAGGAAGGACTTTTAAAAAAGATTAATTACCAGTGGTAGCTTCATGGTTCCAACTGTTTTCAGGCAAGTAGGCTTCTTAAAGGCTTTCTTTAGAGCCAAAGGAAGCATACCCCCACCCCCATCCCCCAATATAAATGCCACAATCCTCTTGCCAACCTTCCTCAGGGCAATTACACATAAAAAAAAATAAAAAACTTCTAGAGGTGCCAATAAAAGTTTTATTTCAAACCCTTATTATGCAGAGGTGAGTTTGCCTCCAGTAATAGTTTCTGACCCTGCCCAACACTAGATGCAAGTTAAATCTAGCTAAGACCAGAGGCATAATCAGTAGCATCCAAGGCAGGAGCAAGTTATAGGATGAGGACAAAGAAACAGGGTTTAATTTGGTAACTTTATTGATAGCAGGTCCTTCTACATTTTAGAAGGTAAAACTGAATGAAGAAGAAAAAGGTAAAATGTAAATCAAAACAGGAGAAATAACATTTCAGAACCCTGGAAGGTAGAAATCAGGTGACCATATGGAATGGTTTGAAAACTGGGATTCAAGAGCACACAGAAAATGTGTATGTCGCATTCAGAGAACTGATGGTGGGTGACAAGCATGCAATTTTAGGGCTACCTGATCTGAACCACAGAAATTCAGATGACCACTAGTACAGCAGCAAGATATAGAAAACATTACTTTTTCAGGTGTTTGTCTAGATTCTGCATTCCAGATCTGTAGTCCTAATAAAGCTGGCATGAATATTAACAGACGAACCTGAAAACGTTACCTGTATATGGGGCCATGAAGCTTCTAATGTAGGCTCATCCTCTTCTGGATCAAAATCTGGATTTTCACTTGGAGGAAGTGTTCTAAAGATATTAGAGCTAATCTAAGGGAACATAGTCACATTTTAAAAGCTACATTCAATCTGATTTAATGCAATACATAAAGTACATTTATGACCACATATACACACAATCATAAGGTAGTTCACGTGCAACTGCAAAATACTTTCAAGACCATTGGTTCATCTAGTCCAGTATGGTTTCTACTCATCTCCCAACATTGCTATCTAATTGGCAGACTATGAACTGAATCTCATATTTAACATGTGTGCTCTCTACAGTTCAGCTATGATCTCTGAAAATAGATATATCTAAGACAAGTAAAGCATTAAAAATGTGGAATTCCAGATTCTAAGTATTGAAAAATTAAGGGACAGAAAATGACAGCAGGCTACTTCCTTTACTGAGTTTTCTAACATTCATTTGGGCATTCAAATAAATGGATCTGCACACGATGCAATATATTCTTTGGAATCCTCTAGCTGACCAAAAGTGAACCCCACCTTTTATTTCTGTGCACGCCTAAAGAAATTACTTCAGTTCCTTGAGCCAACACAGAACCTCAAGACAGAACTACCTGTCAAGAGGCCAGAGAATAAGTTGTGTAAATGCATGCATGGTCACTTGAAGAACTAGTTGCAAATACACAACCTGATTTTCTTCAACCGAGTCTTCATGCAGCACACAAATGGTAGTTATAGGAGGCAGGCAATCAATGAAGGATGCAAGGTAAAATTGCTGTCCTAAAAGCTACCTTGTTTTTGCTTTGGTATTCAACTTATAATGAATGAATGTCAATGGTTGTGATCATGATGTGGCTCAGGAAATGTTTGGCAAGAATCCTACAAAGCAGGCAGAAAAAGCAACTACAATCCTAGTCAAGTAAGCATCATTCCTCTGCAATATGGATAAATCTGCTATTTGAGCACCAAATTTGCGCATCAGCCTTTCAACAGGTGATACCCTAAGATGAAAATGGCTGTCCCTTTTTAGGCCTAGATGGTAAATCTAGAGCTGAAGAGTCAGGCAGAAGGTTCTTCTCAGGTGAAGTTCTTCTCAGGTGAAAAGCAAGCCTGATAAAGAGGAACTTTAAGGAAGATACTAGTGGTAATGAAATGATGGAAAAAGGATATGTAGAGCAATTTCATGAATCATATAGAACTAAAACTATTTTAGGTAACAAGGAGATCTAGTCAGGTCTAGCCAGAAAAGGACTGTGCCTGTATAAAATACGATTATCAACTTAAATGTTTTGACAGAGCTCTAGCTAATCTCAAAAACAATGCTTCCTGAAGCAGAATGAATGGGTGAATTTCACTGATCAATGACACTATACCACTGACAGTTTCAGGGGAAAAGATACGTTTATGGAAATGTACTACAGGCAATATTTCTCCATTTTTGGATGTGATCCATTTAATGATCCATTTTTAAACTAAATAGCTCTGTCCCTCTGTTGATAGGCAGATTTTCAATTCCATTTTGGGCATCTCTAGAAAAGCCAGAAGATTGTAGGCAAGGATGTATTCTCATCAAAAGAGCATTAATTAACACCTAAGAAGTGGAACTGGAGTACCAATATCTGAGGATGAAATGGATGATGAAATTGAGGATGTAATCTTGGAGTCACCATCTTCATGCCCTGATGTATCACAAACTACCTGCTAAGGAAGAATATTTAAGACTGCAGGAGCAAATATCTATATTTCTGCAAAGGACAATAATATCAAGGCAAGAACAGTGACTGAAGAAATCAGCAGTACTGCTGACTTCAGTACTACAGAAAAGAAAGCTATTACTGGAAGTAACAGGTTGTGGCATGCAGATAACTCCATAGTATATGCAAAAACAGGGATGGAAAATTACACTGGTAGGAATATTGTGATGATCAAAAAAATTGGTTGTAGATAATAGCAAGAACTTGTATACAGATGGTCCGAACAACAAAACAGTCAAAACAACTGATTGTCTCATGCAGGGGAGTATTCATGTGATGTCCATTACAATAATGAGTAGAACGTGGAAATCCAAGAAACACTCTTGAATTTGTTAAGACTCACTGATATCAACAGTACTATGACAGGAAGTAACTATGGACAGAATGTCTCAAATTAGGCTAACAGTAATTATTATTGAAATCTTAATGAATGGATTTCATGGATACTACAGAAAAATCTCCAGTTTTTCCTATGAGAGAGATGCATTATTTGCCTTTGAATCTGGTGAACAAACCCCAGTAGCAGTAACCTCCACAAGAAGACGTTTTACAAGAAACTTTAAACATTTCTTTTGTTCTGTTAGTAATTTCTGTTATTACTTTTAGGGATCTTTTAATTGAAGATTTAAAATTTTCTAACCATGGAATGACCCTGGTGCTTCAAGAAGAAAGTTACGTTATTCTGAAAATTGATAGCAATCATAGGAATTTTATCCAACACTGTTATGTCAAAAATTATAATTATATATGCTTATAGCTGTTAACATGGATCAATGACATTAATTTGTTTTTATAATTAATTATATCAAGTTTGATATTTTGCAGACTGGTTCAGACTTATCTGGTAACAGATATGCAAATGTAGTGTCTGTCAGTTTTCTACTAAGAATTTTTTGATTCCTGGAAGCACTCTGTCTACTATTCTTCTACTACTACTACTACTACTACTACTACTTTGTTACATTCCAAAGTTACAAATGTCCCCCATGAGGTTCATGAGAAAATTGAAATTTTCTTGAATGAAATTCTTTTATCTGAGTATCACCAAGGCATTTGGAATAGCTCTTCCAGGATAAAAGAAACACTAACAAAATCCCCCAAACTAAGCAAGAGAATATGAGAACTGATGCCATAAGTCACTGAATGTCTGGAGAGACCTCCCAAGAATAGGATGGTTCTCCTTTTCCTTATTCTTTTATTCTATGTTACCTATTCTGTTTTGTTTGTTCTGAGTTCAAGTACATCTGCTTGGAAGATCTACCTGTGCCTAAAATAGGTCTTTGTACTGGGACTCTGTCTACTTCTTCAGGAAGAGGCATCATTCTCAAGTTACAAATATTTCCAGTGAGGCTCAGGAGAGTAAGGATATTGTTTTGGTGAGCTAAGTATTTCACCAGCAGCAGCTTCTTGGAAGGTTTTGAGGACAACCAAAAGAAAAAAGGGCTATACAGTGGTACCTCTAGTTACGAACTTAATCCGTTCCGTGACTCTGATCGCAAGTCAAGTTGGTCGCAAGTCGAGGCAAATATCCCCATAAGGTTCAATGTAAATACGGCTAATCCGTCCTCCGAATTTGGTCTCAAGTCAAGGCAAATTTCCCCCATAAGGTTCAATGTAAATACATACGGTTAAACAGTTCTG